ATATAAGTCAAATATATATAAATGTATATATAAAACAAGTAAAATAAGTACCAAGTCAATTGATAATAACTTAAAAGAGAAGTACCTCTTTTTGCGGCTGTGCAACAATAGCTACTATAGTGTTCAATATGAAGGAATAGTATAGGATAGTAAAAATAAAAAAGAATACACAATCACGTGTGCTGTCAGGATATGAGAAGGTTTTGAGGGGTACCTACCCATTAACCGATGATAAACGTTTAGTGTTTACCCCTGAAAACTCAAATGTCATAACCGTCACATGTGAGTATGTCGACTTGTCACAGTGACCATTGGCCATCATTGATTGTAAATCGGCTCTCGCGACTAGTGCAGGTCCAACGTGTCGTCTTTACCACCAACTAAACCACACAGTAGATCAGGCATTACCAAATGGCGGCCCGCGGGCCACATCCGGCCTGTGGATGAATGGTAACCGGCCCGCAGACAAGGAGAAAAGAAGCCGATAATATCTTATCTTTGTACATTAGTTTTGGCCAATCGGCACATTACAATAAATATTATGTACATACTTTGCATTTTTATGGCCCTCGAGAATTTTCCGAATCCTTAATGTGGCCCACGGAAAGTATTAATTGGTGACCCCTGCAGGAGACTGTTTAATTCTTGGAAAAAAGTCGACGACGTCACCACGAAGGACCGTGCTGGCTGAACGATCCACAGACAGGCAGTCGACTGTGGACATATAAATTGCGATGCAGTCAAATGAAGGCCAATTCCATCTGAGTGTAACAAATTGTGCGTGACACAATATGTCAGAACAAAATTTATAACGGTTATGTCCATAAAACCAAAGTATTTAAAATAAATTTTTCTGTAGAGTAGTATACCTAATCTTGGTGTTATATTGTTAATTAAATCATACTTAAAAACAAAATAAAAGTCGTTTTAGAAATTATTAATATGATCATTTTTAATAAGAACGTTTAATAACAATATTGTGATGCAAAATTAAGTTATAAAAACGATGATAATACTGTCGAACGAATCCATAATAGTGAAAATATTTTTAATCATCAACACAGGATACTCCTTGAACGGTACACTCAGTATCTATTCGAAAATAAGGTCAAATTAAGCGTATATTTAAAAAATCAGAATTTTAATAAATTCATTGTTAAGTGAAAAAATGGGGGTAGAGCATAATTTGGTAAATAACTTTGTATAATAAGATAGAGGATATCACAATGGTGTGTCTGTTCCAGAAGAATGTAATTTCCGAAGTAACCCATCTGGTTATCATAAAAATATATTAAAACAAGATAAAAAAAGAACAGTTTATTAATACACAGCACAGTGCCTTTGATAAATTCCTTAGTAAAACATCTGTATTCAGAAAAAGCGGGTAAGTGGATGTCACTACAGCTCTGCTGTACATTAAGTGTCAAAAAGGTCGCTGTAATGGATGGTATTAAATTTGAATTTAATGATATAATATCATTGTATACGAAAAACGACTCTGAGCGAAGACGGTATGTCATTCTAGGATATTTTACTTTGTTATTACTGTTATTATTAATACGGTAGCCTGTAAGTTGAATTGATTATTATTATATTATATATTATTTATAATATTATTCTTAAATTATCAGTGATGCTGGAAAAATATTATATACACTTATGTAAAATTGGGTTGTTTTGGAACCAAATTACAACAAAATGACAAAAATGGCTATTCATGGTGTTAATATTTAATTTCGTCTAAATTTGAACATAAAATAACTATAAAAAAAACCTGTGTTTATTTTTATTTTTAGATTTTTTTGGTTACAAAATTAACTACTTACGAAGAGCCTTGTTTTAAATTTTCAACCAATAGATGTACAAGTTGAACATTTAATACATTTTTAACTACAAAATCATTTTTCAATTTGAGAAATTTTGTAATTTTCCAACTGATACTTTAACGATATATCAAGAGCCTTATATTAAACTTTCAAGATTTTTGAACCAACAAATACAATTTTATTGACATTTATAGAAAAAAAAAACAAAACATTTTAAATTTGATTAATGTTGTCAAAATATGAACTTTAAATGATTATCAAAAAAAATCGTGGTTGTGAATTTGTAATATTTTTCAATATGTCAAGGATTTTGTATTAAATTATCATGCTTTTTGACATAATCAATAAAATGTTATAGACATTTAAAGAAAAAAAACTAAAAAAAATGACAGTTGAAATTGTCGGTAAACAGCTTAAAATGAGTAGAAATATTTTTAAAATGTTATCAATTAAATTAATTTAACACAATAAACATATGGTGTAAATTTCAAGTATGTACAGTTATTCGCTTTCGAATCACAACAAAATAAGAAAATCGCTACATGAGAAATCTAGTGAATATATCCAATGTTGTAAAAATTCCAACTTTAAGAGCTCATAAATATTTGACTTTCCGGTTGAGTTTTTTTTTTTGTTAAAGGTAGACAATTTATAAGGAATTTTGTTTACATTTTCAAATGATAGACATAAAAAGAAACATTTTTATGAATTTCTAACTTTAAAATAATTTGTTAATCTTCGTGATTTTTACATATTTGTCGAAGTTTGAAATTCAGACACTCACAATAATTTATTGTGGACTTACGCTCATTTTTTTTTTTGATTTCTACTAACAACAACTTTCTAGGAATCTTGAATTACATTTTAATTGTTATTAAGTTTTTTGATAGAGCTAACATTTTTTTATAGATATAAATCGAAAATTTCATAATATGCCTTTTAATAAGCTCAACACGAGTCAGAATATTTTGAAAATTTTATGGTAATAGAAAATTCTAACACAAACATGTACTGAGAATTTCATAAGTCTATGGTCATTTTTTTATAGTTACGCTAAAATCCAAAATCGATTTTTTCAAAACCTGATTTTGCTTAAAAATTACAGTAGTTGTTTCTTAATTTAATATATATAATCATGTTTGAAAACTATTGGAAATTTTAAATTTTGACTTCCGAATGTACTAACTATACTCACTTTCCAACCAGAAAAGTTGCTCTTGAAGAAAATCGAAGCACTTTTACTGCCCCATACCCGTGATGTCAAACATAAAAAAAACCACATCATCGTAAAATCAAAACATTCATCACTCCACTCAGAATTTAAAAAGAATAAAAATAATTACTGGTAAATAGAAACAATAGTTGTTTTTTAAGAAATTATATTTGTTTATGTTTGTTTAAAACTACGCCAGGTTGCATAGAAAGTGAATTAATTTAATAGTTCAATACAATTGATAACTAATCATGGTCCTAAGTGAGTAATAAGGGATTATTCGCTCACTATTGATTCAATAAATGAATGTTTAGTGATTGTTCATGTAACCTAGCATAAGTCAGGTTTTAAAACATTATGTTTGAAGTATTTGTCTCCCTAGTTAAATGTATATTCCTCATTCTATTAATTAAAAATAATATTTAAACCTACGATTGACACAATTAAATGTGGTTTAAAAATATTGTCATTAAATCTTGCATGAACCAATAAGCAAAATTCAAATCTGCTTAGAATAAGGGAAACATACATTTTTGTTTTAAATACGTGAGGATATTATTACACCTACCTATTATTATGTTTTTTGGATAAGAAAATACCTAAGTACAATCATATAATTCCTTCTCCGGTCCTCGATACCATAGAAAAAAAAAAAAAAAAATCATATAATTGTACTTTGTAGCATACCTATTTGTATCCGGGGACTCTCCATTTTTAACGCTGGTGTTGTCTGCGCTACTTCCCTCCACTAATTAAAATTTTAAACTAAAGCTTAAAAATTTAATTTTGAAAAAATCAACCTGTGTATTATATGCTGACATCGATTGTAAATAATTAAAATTAGAGGGTATGTATATCTCCTAGAGCGTGAAAGACGGTGGAACTGACGCTCGGAGTCTGAAAATTTGATTTCGGTAAAAGAGTATAAAGCGTATATTAATGAAGAGTGACGTCGGAGTTATTGTATAGTTCCCATCGTGTCCTTCCGCTGTGATGAATATGATATATTATATTTGAACTTCGCTGAAAGCGTTTTACTTACATGACCTGGGACTTATACGCATTTCTAAAATTTAATAATCTCAACATGAAAATTATACGGTAATTCTCTAGAACCCAAGGAATAAACAACGCTTAGCGTTTAATCGACTTAAAGTATACACAAATAAAATGGGACTATAGTCGGATTAGGAACAACTCAACAACAATGAAATAAACGTGTTTTGATTTGTACAAGGTAATTTTAATTTTCTTAATAGATAATATACAATGTAACTTAAGCAATAATTCAAAGAATAACATCTAAAATCACTAACACAATAATATGTATTTATTATATTATATTATGTACATACACTGAAAACTGGTTACAATAGTACTAAGTACGTATACATTATATGCGTGTTAGAAAATAATAATAATATTATGGCAATTACGGACAAATCACAATAATATAATAATATTAATAAAATCATTTTGTTAATTGTATAAATATATATTATCATTACTATATCGGTGTTGTTGTATACTGTATACCTACGAAAAGGATCCGTGTCTGTGGTGGTGCATGCTACGGTATACTAATATTGTTGTAGGGTAAAAACAAAATAAATGTTCATCGGTATAATAATAATATTTTACAATTAAGCACTACATTAAAAAAAAAAACTAAAAAAATGTATATAGGAAATCGATATGTGTTTATCATTATATACGTAAAAAAACATCGCTAATATCAATAATTATCACCATTAAACATATAATTATTTTATTGGTGGTGCAAATATGACCGGGCGGTTCCTCAATAAAAAAATATCACCAATACTCAAGGAAAAATATTATAATTTATTATGTTTAATAATATAAAAAACCGATCTATTTTCTTTAAAATATATATTATATAAATAAAACGATATCTGTAATAATAATAAGTATATTAGGTATATAATTATTATTATCTGTATGAATATTATTAAGAGGGGGGGGGGGGTAACATTGAGAAAAACAGAAGCGAGACAGAGAGAAATAAAAATAAAAATCATTGTGTATAAGATACGAATTAAAATCAATAAAATACATTCACACACACACACACACACCCACACAACTATAATAATTTGTAAGAAATTGAATATTGCGTTGTACCAGTGATAACAATAATATTATGTTATTATACGCCCGTTGTTGCGAGATGCGATTTCTCAGTCAGTGGGCGAGAAGAGATAATATTAAAACTCGAACGATATCATTAATACTAACACTGTTATTGACTAACTATGGGCAAATGCGCAGGGTAAGGTGTAACAATGTACTGTGCACTGTACTTGAATGTTGAATGTGTGTTCGGACCAGTGTACGCGTGTGGTTGTCGATGGTGGAAGTGGGCGCCACGATTGGACGACCGACTATAACGACACGCATAAATGTATAAGGGTATAAGTCTAGTCTCTGATAACGCTGTTATCATAATGCGTGTGTGGTGGAGACTATAGAGTGTGTGTGGGTGGGGTCCGGGGGATGATGGCTTGCATCGTTATCGTTGTATTATCATCATCATCATCATCATCGTAGTATAGTGTTTTGGGAAGGTGGTAGGGGGGGTGTGTTGATCTAGATCCTCGACTCGACGGCCAACGGGCTGCCCCGGGCCTCGGTCCTGGCCTCGCTGTTGATGCGCATCGACGACAGGGACGTGCCCAGGCACGAGTTGCTGAAGCTGCCATAGGTGGAACCGAATCGGTGGCTGGATCGGAACGAGTGGTGCCCGTTGATGGTGTAGATGGGAGACTTGATCCCGGAACCCGGCACTGGCGCCGCGCTGGTCGGGTCAACCGCGTCCCCGCGGCCGGCGAACCCAACGGTCGAGTCGCTCATGCCGTTCACCACGAACTTCTCGGACGGCCGCCGTTCCAAGCACACGAAGAAGAGCAGCGCGATTCCCTGCAACAAGACGGCTTACACAGTATTACACGAGTTCGTAATGATGATAATTTAAAAAAAAATATTTGTGTAGTATATGAAAAAGAAAACGACAGTAGTCAGGAGGTACTTAAACTGTAATAGTATGTAATGATATAGTGATAACAGACAATAGGTACATAGTGTTTCAGAACTTCAAGTGACGTTTAGTAGTTATCATATTTAATCGCTCAAAGAAGAAATCAAAGTCAGAATATTTATTTTGTAAGGAAATATCTCTAGGCAGAACGAGTTTCTCGCGAAAATAGTATTATGAGATGGGGCGTAGAGAAGAGAAAGAGATCTGTGACAATAAATTGAACATGATCTATTAAATACGAATAGTTAATGATAAAATAATTGATAACGTTGTGTAGGAATGGTTTATCCACTGTTTCATGACGAATGGCCGAGGTGGAAAATTCCAGTTGGGTACAAATTGGATCGTAGTTATAGGGTTCTAAAGAGAGGAGATTTATAGTTTAGAAGCTACGAATTTCAAAAAACGCCTTTGAACTCGTTCATTCACTCGCATTCATAAGTATAAAGCGCTTTAAAAGATGACGAGCCTTTAAATTCAGAATAAGTGTCGTTTAATAAAATATAACAACTTTGAGATTTTACCCTCATAATGATATTGCGACTTGTATATATGTGTATTGTGTATACAGTTTGCCTCGGTGGCATGGATTGCATTTAGCAGTTGTTGTTGCTTAGTAGAGGGTGGACAAGTGCAAATATGTTCTGACAAGACCACCAAAAACCTAACCATTACTATATTACATATACTTGTGAAAATTTTGTTTATATCTACATATGTTATTTAAGAAAAAGTCCAACAAATTAATGTGCTAACTGTAGAAAAATTGTTCTCATTTACACGATATTTATATTCCAATATTCCAATATTCCAAGTATTTAAATCATCAATACATTTTAACTTTTAGTGTGTTTTAAGTGTATATTTACCTAATAGTTATTTTATATTAGTAGTAGACCCGGATTAATTAACGGGTATATTTATTATCGCAGTTAACGTAAAAACTACAATAAAACACACCTACCACACAATAAATCGAGTTATTAGAGATTATCAAAATCAGCAAGTATAACAAAAGGTCAAGGGTTTGTAGTCCAAACAATCAAATAAAAAAAATTATTGTTAGGACGTGCTGCTTTATCGTTATTTATAAACAAAAATTGTTAAGGAAAAGAAAATCGGATATAGGTGGAATAATTACTTTTATAAAACTGTGTTAAAAATAGTTGTAACATTGTAATATATTATTTACCCGAACGTACTAAAACAATTTTTATGACGTGGATTATCATTTTTTAAATATCTATAGGTATCTAATATTATAAAAATATAATATCATTTTTTTTTTTTAATGAAATACTAATATGTGTTATAGTATTTCAACCATTTAAATAAAATTAATATTGAAAAGCACAGAAAAAAAATAAAAAACTTATACTTCATGTAATTTAAAATTTGTTAGTTCAATCTGAAGAATAATATAACAACCTGCTTTTATTATGATTACTTTATTAAAAGGAAAATCATTAATGTATGAGAAATCGAGACTGAGAGAGGAAAAAAAGGTTTTTTAAATTTTGTCTAATGAAGGAGAGCAGGGCAATTGATTAGCAAATTATGGAAGTCACATGCGGACCCCTGCAGTTAGAGGGTATAGAATGGTCTGTAATTGAGCCTCAATGAAAATATTGAAATAATGAAATTCAAAAACACTGGATACTGTGTAAATATATTGGTTCGGGAACGATGATGTACGTGAAACTATATATAATCTTCGAAACCATGAATTTCTCATCGAAATTCTCAAAGGCGAAATGGGGCTTTCGACCGAATGTCATAAATATACATCAATATATAATACGTACGCATAATAAATAGTGAGGGCTACATTTAAATATTATGAGATGGCAAAATATAATATACGGAACAAAACTATTCAATAATATTTCTTCGGCCTCTTTTTTCAGTTGAATTTTCGATTTATTCATTCAGTTGCCCTAAAAGAAATCTCGCTTATAAGTCTAGGGTTTGGCACGTATATACGAGCACAAAAACCATTAAGCTTATGTATGCGTCCATGACTGTTAAAATATAAAAATTCATTTCTTTATACACATATATAAGTGAACGTGAAAAATAATGTCAAATTGACCTTAATAAAGAAAAATCTTTTACACGTGCAAGATGCGATTTTGCGTATTTCAACTCTCAATAATCAGAGTCATACTTTTAATCTGTAAAAATGATATGATTTATTTATATACTATTATCATTCTATAACGTTTTTTAGTATGGATATGCAAAATATAGTGCAAATCCCGTACCCTGTTTATACGCTATTGCAACATGTGATATTAATTATTATCATCAAATACTGAAATACTTAAATATATATTGCTTATCGAGTTCTATGTATTATTTTTGACTGTCAAATTTACACGAAATGTAATATCATTGAGTGGACAGCTCATTGGAATACTTAAATGTGCAGTTTTCTTCATCAATATTAGTCACTCTCCCTATCATTATACCACAAAACATTTTACTCACCAATGCGATGTGCAATGAAATCTCAAAGTACGTGCCGTTTTCAAACCCAACCAAGTCATACAAGACGCCAGCTATTGACGGGCCCAAAAATGCACCTAGCGCGAAAGACGATGACCAGATGCCCGACAACAGTCCATAAGTGTGTATGTCGTTTGGAAAACCGCTATCGCTGCAGAAAAAATAAACGTTACTCACCTAGTTAATACTTTTTATTTGCATTTTTTTTTTTTATATACTTTATAAAAATACATATGCGTGCATTATAACTTACAAGGCAGCTGTCATGGAATCTACGAACGTGGGTACGCAGATCATACCCAACGCGACTCCTTGTATGATCAATCCAATAACCACCCACACCATGGATCTAGAAACAAATACACTTCACGGTTAAACACATACAACTGCAGTTTGTGGTAAAATTTGATAGGATTTAGACGTTCTATATTTACACTCTCAGCAAACGAAGATGAACGAGATAAGACGAAAAAAAACATTTCATTTCTCGTTTAAAAAGGAAAATAATACAGAACACGAACACGGGTACATAGAAATGAAAATGAATCAAGAAAACAATATTGTTTATTAGATTACACAAACCACCCTCATATTTTTTTTATTATTATTATTTCGAGCGCGTCGGTATATTGAATAAATTATTATGATGCTCTCATATATATCTATCACGAGGTGGTGAACGATACTTGTAAAATATTTACAAGTCATTCGTTCAGACAGTCCTACGTTGGAGGCATTAAATATACATTTTATTTCACTTTTTATTTTTGAAATTAAATTTAATACGTCCAAATCTAATCAATTTACTTTTGATTCGAATTGAATAGTGAAATTCGAATCTTTAATAATTCGGGCACACCACATATGTACATATCGACTGACGTGAATACAATTACATTATACTGTAGCGTCAATGAATAATTAAAATTAAATTGATAATAATATCTACACAATTTAAATTTTAAATTTTCTATTATTCCTGATACATCGACGAATAGTAAAATCGGCATATAACATATAAAATAGTTGTTTAAAAATTAAATATATATTTTCTTACATTATTCAACTCTATAATTTTATTGTATTGAAGTATAAGAGGTACTTCCTGTACCAATACTATAATTTGGGAAGTACCAAACAAAATTTGTAAAATTATAATCCATTTTCTTGTGTTGTACCTAGAATCAACGGATTTAATTAATTTTACTATTGGCTGTGCATAACTTATGCATTTTTTTAGAAAAGATTTTTCAACCCTTCATTTGTAATTTATTAAAACTAAAACTGTATAATAAAAATGTTTGTTTTATTTTTGAATACCATTAACAGAATTCTTCCTAATAAATTACATATTCATTTTTTTACTTTATACCTACATAATGTTTTATTTTTTTCAATCGTGATTAATGAGCGAAAAAAATGTCATTAAGAAATATTGTTTAAATCACTTTATTTATAAACTAAAATACTGACTAAATCTGATATTTTAAATAGACTATAAATTAATTAATTTGTTTATGAATAGTAGTTTTATCTATGTCAATATTGATAGTTGACATATTTACAATATGCTTTAGAGTTTAGATTATGATTCAGGAATATTTTTAATATTGAATTTTGACTGGAGAAGTTGAAAAGTTTCACTATTTTCAACTGTGAAAGTTGTATTATTTTAAACTATACAAAATTGACGAATGAAATTGAATACATTTAGCAATTATTATAACACTAGAATGGACGACCACATGTCTATATTTAGAATAATTCCATATTCGGAATTGTTATTCGAATGCGAATTCTTTCTTTCAAAATGTTTTTTATGGCAATATACGACTGACTCGAAACCATAGAACTAATCGCTCCGATACCCAGCCCACCTATATATTATTATGTCCTCGTTTTTTACTAGAATTTAAACAAAATATAGTCCATTTTTTTATCATGAGTTCAGTTCGTGTGGTTTAATATATAATATGGCACTGTGCGCGACCTCTACTGCTGGTATTCTAATCTGAGCTCAATTAGTTTCAAACATAAAAATAATTCTTTTCAATTATAATTATTTCGTTACATAATATAGGCCCAGGTACAAAGTTTTAATCAATAATACATATTAATATCATATCGTTTTTGATACAGTTACTACGCATTGAACCTATACCAACAATTAAAAATAAAAGTACATTTTATTATTAATGAGAATTCGCAGCCTTCAGAAAATTGTTATGTAAAATCGGCAGTTTAATTGTATGATACTACGATAAATAATACAATTCACAAAATATTAAAATTATAACATTGTCAATAAATAATAAGAATTTTTTACTGTATGATCTACTTAAAACATAATTTTATTTGTGAGGTTTTTGAAAGCACTTGAATGGCTTCATTGAGTTATAAATCAATTATTATGTTAGGCAAGTTGTTAGTTTGAGTCAAGTTCATAAGTAGTTAAATTGTATACAACTCGCATATATTATGACTGGCAGTATTGATACTGGTATTCATGTACCTATTGATCAGTATACTGCCGTACTAGTATTTTGAATTTTTAGATGTTTTCGATTTTTTAGTGATTTTGTTATTTATTTGAATACAAATTACACGATATAACTAGCATGACAAATCCAGAAATCCTGTACTTGGTATCAATTATGGTCAAACAGTTCCAATTTTAGATTTTAGGTACAAAAACAAGTGCTTATTAAACTTTTTATATTTTCGATTATACTGTATTTCAATTTATCATTATTCGATTTTCATTTATATATTTTTTTTTATTTAGGTTACGGTTTTTTGATTAACCGGCATTTCGGTATACCAAAAATATCACCAGTCCTAGTATGAGTATATGTCGTAATAATTAAGGAGGTAGTGTGGTACAAGATTTTCATAATTTTAGCTCTTCATAATTTTCACGTTCTGACGAAAACAAGGTATGACGTTAGTTTGACAATAACTAATTTTTCTATCGTATTCCAAGAAAACAATATTAATTATTCTGATTCTGACTCGTAGGCCCGAGACAAACACAACATTTCACTATAATAAGAGCTATTATTATAATATATTTCCAAAAATAAACTTTATTAATACCGCGGACGTTGTAGGTATAAATGTGTATAGGATAAATGATACTTAGGTATTTAAAAAAAATGATAAAAATATCATATCTTACAGGTCAAAAGCGTATTAAAAATTGTCTTTTGTATCCTCAAACAGTTACGACACTGAAAATAAGGAACCAGATAAATAACGTGGAAAGTACCCCCACATCCAGAAGACAGATCACCATTATGTAGGTAAACAGTATTGACCATGGACTCAGGAAAAACGCATGAAAACACTGTACTGGCAGAGGTAAAATATCTTAAGGTGGAATAATTTTACTTTTTCAGTAGACAAGAGAAAAATTGTGTCAATTGTCGAACCATATGATTAGAACGATTAAATGTGCAGTAAGGCAACATTTCTCAAATTTTTCCTCGGCTGACACTCTTAGAGTATAGTAAAAATGATTGCTGTCCCCGTAATAAAAATAACTTATTCTAACAATAACAAATAAAAATAATTTACAGTGCGACAAACATAACTGTAAGGTAAAGAAAAACTTTAGGTATATGCAATAGGTTACTGGTACATTAAAGTGTTTTTTTTTTTTTTTTGTTATTCGTGTTTATCGTCGTATCCGAGATATGATTAATATTTCAAAACCCTAAGATTAACACAAATACGAAATCAAAAATTGTTATTGTATATCGTAATATTCAAGTAGGTAGGTGGGTAATAATATTTAATATTTATTAAAATAAATAAAAAAAAAAAATAATAATTATTTATTTATTTATTTATTTTTTTTAATATTTTTTTTTACATAATATTTAAGCGCGCTGTATGTTTTACGTTTTGTTTTGTTTTGTTCATTTTCATCAAAGGTTATGACATTTTTCATAAATAATATACTGCGCAGTAAAGTTCCTTGAATTTTTATAAACAGATTAAGTTGTGATATTTGCTTGAGACTTGAATTGATCGATTACTTACTCTTATATCTGGTTCAATTTCAAAAATATTTCTACTTTTAGGTTATTTTTATACTACGTCAATGTCTATTACAGTTTGAAATAATATTCGAGGTTCGCTATGGTTTTTTCTAAAATGTATCAAAATCTAGTGTTGGTTGGCGGGCAAGTGGGGGAAGTTAATAATGCTTAAAGCGTCCTCAAAATATACAATTAAAAAGAACCACGCTAAAGACATCTTCAGTGATTGTTCATTATTCATATGTATATGATATGAAATTAAATTTAAAATAACTTAAATAGGTACTGAATTGTTTTTTTAAACTTGAACTTTTATCGTCTATTGAATTGATACACTTTGGTCACACGTGTTGTTTTGTCAGATTTAAGAACACTCGATAGCGTTAGTTCGCTATACATCTATCGTATTGCTGCGCGCATTATCATTATCACCAAATCGATACACATAGGTACCGAAATTCACACTTAAATAATGTAATATTAATATTGTTCGCCCGTACTTTGTTATTGGCATGAACGGAGCCGGACCGACTATAGAGTAGCTGACGACGGTTAGGATTGTCCCGACGATCATAATTTTTTTTGGATTCAATCCGGTGTCGCAAACGTATCCGATGACGGGCGCTATCAGTGCGTACGTTCCACCGCTGATGATGAACACGAATCCGACGTCTACAGATGAAAGTCCAAACTGCGGAACAAACGCATGAATAAATAAATAATAATAATAATTGTCTAACGCGTTGTATTATTACGCGTTATAATATAATTTTTTCGTACACGGGTGTGCCTGATTAAATTTTGATTAGACGATCTGCCTTAGATAATATATTACAATTTAATGAAAACCATATCGGGGCCCGTGTCGAAATACACGTATACGTATAACCTCACTTACTATAACCTTGCAGAGAGTATAACTATATCCTTAAACTAGTTCATAGATCTACGTGAATGTCACGTCAATATTGTAGACCAAAAATGTTCGCAAGACCATTAATTAATATTACTGATACCTAGCAGAAAATAATTGAATTCTCCATGCAAAAATCTGTTGTCCACTGCAACCGTTAGTAATTATTTCTAATCGAACGATCAACATACAAAATGTTAAAGCATATTTTAGATGTTTGAAACTTTGAAATGACGGTTGAAAAAAATCTGTAGTCCCACCGAAAGTTGTTCATTTGTCAAAAGACAGTTGGTAGGTATCTAAAAGTTTTGCAAATTCTTTAACGACTCTGTTTTTCAGTAGGTATACGGTATACACAAGCGAGACTTCGTAATAAATGTAGTTGAACAACAAATAAATTAAAACTAGCAAGTGTATTACAAGAATATATCATGTTGTTCCTCTATAATTTTTTATACAGCTATTGAAGAGATATTTCCAAACTGAGAATGTAATGTGTATAAATCAATAAGACACATGTTATAATGACAATACTCACGCAGTAGTTACACTCCAATTTCAGACGAGATATCGTCACTTATTGCCATAAATTATCATTGACAAACGACTTTAGGGTGAACAAATTTCCCGCTATTAATATCGTATTTATTGATATAGTCACAATGCCTACGATCACGATTTTCTTTTCTCTGGGTTATTTTCAGTTTAATATTCAAGTACTGTGTATATTATAGAGTATACGATATTTTATCATTTATTCATACTCGTGTAACGATATATTATTCAACTCTGGCCCTCCACATCGAGTTTATTTCAGTGAGACCAAGCGAAACCAAATAAAAATAATATAATTTATCGTTGTCGGTACACGCCCGGCAATGCAAACAATTTGGTTATTGAGTATAATGTATTAATGTATACATAATAATAATACATACCTACAGTAAGGCTCGGGTGTTTGTTATAATTCAACGTCAATATTTAAATTGCCCGAAACATAAGAATCGCGTTCAGATAATAGCTCATAACTAGTATATATTTACATTAGATACTATCTCATTTATATTATTGTCGCACGTATACAAATAGAAGTAGGTACTCGATTCGTAAAAGACTCCCAAAAACAACGAGGCAACATAAAAATGTTTAATTAAATTGTTTTGAGTAGATAGTAGGTACTCGTTTGAAAGAAGTACTTATATAATACACATAGACCTGCGTTATTGCGGTCGTTCGGTGTTTTTAAAATTGGTAGGCACTCACCCCACGAATGTGTGGCTCCAACGTGGCTGAATAATATCCCATAGCTGTGGCCGTTATCACAGTTGCAATAGAGTTTACGAGTACTGTAGGAACGCTCATGAGGTGTGTTACTTTGGCTGCAAAGGACACAATGTAATCAATATTGAACAATTAAATATCATTTTTTTTTTTAAATATGTTTGTACAACGATAATATTAATTGTATTAGATATCATTATTATAATGTGTAACGTTGTTACGGTTGTAAACACTCACTTTTAGCCTTGTTTGGACTGGGCACGTCTTGTTTCATTAAAATACACACCAGGAACGACGTTCCAAGTGTAATGAAACCCATGACCACAAACGGCAGTGAAAATCCACCAACCTGCCGAGCAAAACACGTTATAATAAAATACAAACAAAAAAGTATAGGTAACCAAGTCGAAAGAATATTTTTATTTTTGTAAAAATATTAATATAGGACCATTAATGTCTAAGCTCACCTCGAACAGCAAAGCGCCGAGAGTCGGTCCGACGATATATCCCATTCCATAACATACTTCAAGAGCGGACTATAAAATAATATAATATATATAAAGATAGATCATTAGTTTAACATATTTTTTTATTCATTGAATATTTTAAGAGTGTGATTTATTGGTATACCTAATCGTATATACTGTATAATATACTGCTTTAATATTTTGAGCCCTCCAGTGGAATTTCTTGAAATTAGTTAGTGATGATATTTGGGTGATAAGAGGAGTTTTGAGTATAGTAAGTTTGTTGTGAAATCTTTTATAGTGCGTAAAGGCTAGTTTTTTTAATAACATGTAGGTCATTATGTAAATTTAGGTTAGAGACATACTGTGGGCATCCAGTTATTATAATTAAGTAGGTAATTGCCTGAAAAACTTCCAGAGAACAAATGTTGAAACTTTGAGAGGTTATGCTTGAATCCAGATTTGGATTCAAATTATAATTCAATTTCTTTTTGGTATGATCTTTCCAGGTGACTATTTTTTAATACAATTTCAAACAGTTTTTGATGAACATTTGAAACACTTCACCGCAGGAAATACAAGAATGACGCTGTGATTTGTGGGGGCGAATACACAAAATCATTATGTTGTATACAATATTAAATATACGTACGAAAGTGCTAGCAACAGATTCAGGAAAAGAGACGGCTGTCAGCGAAAACGCGGCTACCATCGCGCCCGTAGCGCCCAAAGACTCCAACACCCTAAGGCACAGCGATAACAGCAAGAACATGTTTCTTTCGTCGATGTACGTCAAATATCTGTAATTATAAAAAAAAAAATACACGTTATTATAGTCTTACGTGTACGTGTAATTGTTATATCTTTTTAAGGATACGAAAAAGAATATTTTTTTGTTCACGTTACCCGAAAGCAATGGTCGACAGAGCGTTCAATACGATGCCAATCACCAACATATATTTCAGCCCAACCTTTTGTATCTGAAATACATAATAATAACTATTAGTAACGTATTTAAATACTTTGTACAATGGACATGTAATATATGAATTTTTTCCCATTTAAATAGTTCGAAATATTACTGTTGGAAATAATACACCAATATAACATGATAATATTTCTATTTATAGTAAAATTTTATTGTTAGAGTGACTAGATCTGTATTTTATTGGCCATTGCAATTTTCAGAAACAATTACTACAATATGAGTCTTGTCATTTGCATACGTCACTTTGGACTCTGAGCGAAGCAATAAATGTTAAAATAATTTTACAGCAAAACCAATATTCGACAAAATCGATTTTATTTTTTTGATTTAACTCAAAAAGAATAATCGTAGATACTTCAAATTGTGACTTAAGGTTTATATTGACATTTTCAAAATATTTGGACTCTTTCTGACTATTGAGTGTTTAAAGACATTTGAAGATGCAATATAAGCATTCGGGCACTTAAGTTCAATTTTAGACGAAATTACATATTTATATCAATATTTTAAACGATTTTAATTAGTAATTATAAGTTTATTCATTTTAATTAGTTTGTTGTAGTTCAAAAATATTATTCACGTGGACTTGACAATTTTAGGGTAGGTAAATTATTTTAATTTTTTAACACATAATTCAATTTTCAAATGTAATGTTTTTAGCAAAAAAAATTCAATCTACCATATTTTCTAACAGTAAAATTAATTACTTTAATGGCAATTTAAATAAACCATGATAGACATTTATGTTTCATAGGCTGACAGGTATCATTCGTTTAGACTCATTTTTCGTATGCTTTGAATTAAAATTTAACACATAATATATTACAGTGACTACCTCAATGGCAAGGGGCATTCGACATCTATTGTACAGCAGAGAGAGCAACCACTTTTTTCATAATTGAAACCTGCTTAAAATGTCAGGTTAAGAAAAACTAACGAGTATTATATGCTTCAAGACCGTTTATTTTATTCAGAATAATATAAAAAGAGGGCATTTTTTCAAAGAATATCTACTGCGTGTTTATTCATTCTTCCCAAATACAATGCAGTAAGTAGTAGAAACACCCAACTTCTCTAGTCCCAATAATTTATCAGTGGGTTACATCATTTGAAAAGTGAGTATTTGTTTAGTATTTAGTCGAAATTTGATTTGTTTTAAAATAATTACTTGTTGAGGTTTTATCTCTAACATTAAGTGTCCAGATCTGCTAGAAGCCTTCTTTATAATTACAATTATTATTATATTTTGTACAAACTATGATGATTTAAAATTGTATAGATCTACTAAAAAAAATGTCACATATTTTTACTTAGTTATTCTATGTAAATGCGTATATATTTTTGTATTCCATGTACTTTTCCATCCTTTGGAGTATAGGTTGTATAATAATTTCGAAAATAAATAATACATAATTGTTCGAAGAAGCCTATACAATTCTAAGCACCCTAATTACGTTTAATTGTTAATTCCTTTTAATATTATAGTATACTTCTAATTGAAACCATATTAATATAATCATAACTTTTTTTTAAATTTAAGATATTGAGCTACTAGTAATAATTAAAAAAATTATAATTATTGTCATAAAATATAGACTTTTAACCTATTAAGTAAGTATGTTCGTACAACAAAAAACACGATAGTCTTAAAAGCCATTCTAACCACGGTCGTACATTATTACCTAGATATAAGTTATTATTAATATTAGGTGTATATTATCCCATATTGTTCGTTTTTAAATCTAAAAAATATATTTTAAAAACCTATGCAGTGTACAATACAAACAATATATTTATTTTTATAGCTGTAAGTTGTCATAACTGATTGAATAGGCACATACTAATTTCATATGTTTACTCTTGTGGTAAATTTAAAAAAAACAACTATTATTAAAAAACAACCATTGGGTTCGACTATGCACGCACTTAACATTTTGAATGTAAGGAACCTCTATATACTACATTTTATAAAATCCAGTGTAAAAATTGACTTTGCTAAAGTTATTTAATTACATGATATCGTAACTTTTAAAAAAAGGTTTAAAATTACAACGAATACTCTGTAATTTAGGATTATAAAAAAATGTGTAAATTGTTTTAATACTTTTTAGGCACTTTACTTTGATTGTTATTATGTAATAACTTTTTCATTCAGAACCACTACGAATTATTACTGTCCCCTTTGTGTACACGAGTATACAAAATATGTTTGTAAATTAATATACGTATTTATAATAATTATTTTTCGTTTATTTCCTAATCACTTGTAATATATTCTTTGGCCTCCCTCGTCCCGCACAAGACACTATCAAGGATTATTTATGTAAATATTTTGTCAATCAGATTTTTACCTATCTTAAAAGCAATTCCAATGAAATACAAATAGTACAAAGTACCAAATAACATTTTAAAGTAAGCCAACATAATTTTTTGTACAATTTATTATAAAATATTTATATGTATAGAAAAAATATTATAAACTTATGAGAAATAAGTTTTGTACGTTTTATCGGATTACAGTGTAAAAAAATTGTGAGTGCGACCCCTGCGATTTTTAAATCTGTATAAAAAAAACCCCGTACTTTACGGCTTACTGTCGAGTGCCTACTCCAATTCCTGTCGTCCCATATACGTAGCTATATACACCGCAGTAAAATAAATGTATAATACTGTGTACAGTAACCAGAAATATACGTTTTCTTTGTTTTCACAGCATATTTTATTATACAGGTACGTTATGTCTTGTGTATACCTACCCATAATATATTATAATATAATGTCACGTGTTGTATTCTTTTCAGCAATATTTATTTACGTGATAATTCGCGTATAATATTCCGTCTCCGCGTCTAAAGTGAAATTAATAAACTAAAAGGTTGTAATACGTGTACACGTATTGTGGAGCTTATTAAATGTATCTTTTCACGCGAGTGTTATTCGTGAGGAATGGCGTCGTATAGGTACACAGTTATTTTAATCGCTTGTTTCGCACTCTGAAGCAAAGTTATGCACCTCAAGCTCACAATGTAATCGTGCACATATTTCGACAGTTGGAGGTATTGCTTATAAATGCAGAGTTGTAATAAATAGTTTTCAAGACCAGAGAAGCCACTCTGCTGTATAGAATGTCTACAGTGCACATTGTCACTAAGTAGGTCACTGTAATGAATATGTTAAATTTGAATTCAATGATAAATCACCATCGCCAGCCTCTATATTTCTAAGAATATTAACTTTTTTAATAATTTAATCACATTACGAGAATCAATTTATTTTGCTATTGTTTAATAGAAACTATGGTGTATTGAACTAATTTTGCTAAAAACATCGTATATATAATATAATGTAATACCTAATTACTATTGTTATTATTATTATTTTTTAAGGCATCAAATACATCGTTTATTAGCCTACAATATTTTACAAAATTAGATTACTATTATTATTATTATAATTATTATATACGTATCATATTTATTTTTCAATTATTATCAATTTATAAGACAGTACCGACTTAATGTGGTATTATGCCTCGTGTGATGTAAATCGGTTTATGGAATAAGTAGGTTAAAATTAGTCAAAATAATTTGAAAATTGAATAGTGTACCTATTTGAAATAATAATATATGTATTGGCAAAATCTCCAAGTCACTATGATTGCCATGTTTGAATTACAACATAATAACTAAGATTGTTAAAAGAAAAGTCGTTGAATTTTGTTGAAATATCTGCAGGTTTTTTCATAATTAAAAGATATAATGTCTATAAAAACAAATATTTTACATTTTGTGTATTTTTGATAAATTTGAAAAAATCTTTAAAACGACGCCATACCGCATGCTTTGTGTCAATCTTACAAAAACATAACATAACACATTGTACGTTCTGAATAATTAATTTAACTCCGACATATTTAATCTTAGAGTAAATTGACCTATAATCAAATTTAGTAGTAAGAATATTATCTAGTCGATGACAGGTTTTTTCTATACATCAATTTTAAAACGAGTAATGAGCATTTTAAGGTGTACAAACGATTTACTATTTTAAAATGCTCATAACTCGCTTTAAACTAACTAGTAACTAGTAATGTATAGGATATTTGTTATAAGTTATAACTTATAATCATTAAGATAAATTACACATTTTACACAAGTTCGTGGATTTACATAACAGAATACGATTTTGAGCATCAAATTTGTTCTAATATTCAATTATGAAGGTTGTTTCTGAGAGACAATTTATTCAACTTTGTATTTTTTGACATACAATTCATACAATCCCAGTATTATTCTTAATTATTGGGAAAAACTAACAAAAAACCACTTGTAAATATTTACAGAAAATTAAACATCAGATTTGTTTTATTGTCATATAATTAATTATAATGATAATCAGAAAGCTAACTTTAAAGACTTAAAAATTTTACCAAATATTTATGTATAAGTATTTTCTAGAAATAATATATTATTTCAAATTATCAAAAATTATGTTTTTAACTGTTTGGTATTCAAATGTGTACTAAATTGATTATTAAAATGTGAAATATATAGACTATACCACAAATGGTTTAAGTAATATTTATTTTGTATTTTCAACAATATTAATTCTAGAAACTTCACTTGACACATTCAACTATTATTTATTTTATATATAATTCTTTATAAGCATATTTGATTTTCAAACATATTTTAACTCATATTATTTACGTATATATTGTAGCAATTATAATGTTCTAATCATTAAATTTTTTTTCAATACATATTTAAAAAAGTTTTATCCTTAGTAAAAAAAAAGTGCAGTATAAAGTTCCTCATAAGTTATATTTATAGCAATTATAAAATATCGAAAATAAACTTAAAATAAATGTTGTTGTTTTTAATCGTTTTGAAGTTTAACTTTTTTGAGATTGGATATCAAAACGACAAAATATAACGATTTATTACTGAATCGATTTTAGTTTTCTTGTTATAATAAAAATATATTATTCGTAGAAACTTTAAACTTTTCATACCACGAAACCAATCACACCGTTCTATGATACGTCAGTATTGACATATAAGTTTTGCCAAAAAACATTGCAAATTAAGGCAAATTATAATGTTTTTTGGCGAAAATTAGCTCAACCTAGAAATAAAAGATTTAATAACATAAATGTATAAGATAGTAATTAATGACTATCTTTAGAAAAAAATGCTGATCAATTTCATCCCTTTCACTCAGTATCGTTTTACCGTTTACAATAATTTATCATTGAATTAAAGTTTAATACGTGCAATAGCCTTCAAAACCCAATAACGCAACAAATCGAATTCCTCAGATTTTAAAATTTTATGTTTAAACATTAAGTAAAATATTTACAATATATAAAATTGAGAACGTGAGAAATACATTTTTTTTTAAATAAAAATGAGTCAAACTGTAAGATTTAAATTTGGATTATTGGATTATTGGTATTTTTTTTGATAATATGTCATGATAATATATGATATATATATATATATATATATATGTCGATCTGGCCAAGTTTCTGTACATACTGTACACAGCACACACTTTTGCCGTTATGCATTATATATTACATATTATATAAATACATACACTTAACATACCCACCCGTCACGACAAAAGCGCGACAATGTCACCGACTGGGGAAAATATGTCTTTCCACATTTATAAGGCACACTGTATGGGCCTAAGCCCGATAAGATGGTTCAATTGGTAGAAGTTTTTTGGTTATCATCACGTTCACGCCGATAAAGAATATTATTATATATATGTATATATAGAACTGCAGCATTTAACATATAATTTTCATACAATCGACGGATTAATGATTATAATATAGGAATAGAATTTTATCTTAATAATTTAATATGTTTTTTTATTGGCGAGATGTAAATGTGTAATTATTAAGTAAAATGCAACGCAGAAAAGAACACGTTATGACGTATAATAACTACAGGTGATGTTTTTTAGATACGGAATTTAATATGACATTGCTCGAAAAAAAAAATGAAAAAGGAATTTGGAAGGCATTAATTTAATTTAATTTTTGTGTCGTTTCGTTGTTATATAATATTATTTTACCTAAATACCAAGCGTTCAATATTTGTGTTTCAAAAGAGAAAGATAGCCCCTTTAAAGTGTAAATATTTGATCTATTTTTTGTTCATAGTTTGATTTTACTTATATCTTTAGCAAAAATGCAAAACAATAGCGAAATTTACAAATAAATTCAAACTGGTATAGCATCATCTTTTTATTTTTATTTTTTGACAATGGATGGTAAGAACCTCAAAGGGTTTTTTTTAATGTGCCACTGCAGTTCAAGCTTTTCCGTAAAAATAAAGAACTCTTATGATAAAAGATAATTTATAAATAGTTTTTACTACATTTTATATACAAGGTGATCCATTTAAGTGGCTACACTCATTATTTCAAACATTTTTCTTTTATTATTTGATGTCATTTCAAAATACCATTTCCGAAAACAATATATACCTATGTTACTATTTTATATAGTTATCGTTTTTAATTTATTTTATTTTTTGGAATGGCACCAGTTTTAATTTTCATATTCCGAAGCTAAGTATTATTCGGAGTAATTTTATCTATACAAATTAAATTCAAGTCAATTCATTAATTATAAGTATTAAAAGCTTAGATTAGCGGAGTAGTGGACAACTTTTAGCGAGGTACGCATAATTATTATGCCACTCTACTTAGCTTTCTAACTTGAAATTCCTAAATAACTGATTAACTAATCGTCCAAAATTTAATTATATAAACTGGAATATTCCGAATAATATTTTGCTTTTGAACATTAAATTAAAAATCCGTGATGTCATTCAAAAAAGTAAAATAGAAAAAATATAGTTTTTTTGCTAAAATGTTGTTTTGAAATTACATCAAATTATGTAAAAAAAAGTATTTTCGAAACAATGAGCGGGTACACTTAAATGGATCATCCTGTACACTTATGGTAAGTAGTAATATCATTTCTAAGCGCTTTGATCCATATTTTTTTTTATCAACCATATTTGATTCTATAGAGAAAAAACGTTTCCGTATCTCGAGTACCAATCATGCTGTCTGAAACATACAATACCACCTCGTTCAACATGACCACTTAAAATTTTCTCATAAACATTCTAATCTCCGTCTCTTCATCATTGTTCGTTGCTTATGCCAAATACCGATAAAGTTATAGATAAATATCAAATATATAATGCATTTCAGTAGTACTGATTCCGTTGACGCGGTGATTAAAAAATAATATTAAAGCGACACGTTTTATACATTTATAATAATGGTATGGGAATTTAGAGAAAAAAATTCAATTATAATATAATATGTATAAATCGAAATATAGTTCTAACGCTGCTAATATTATGACCGTTTGAACTGTACGTGGTGTGAGTATGAGTGTGTATAGAGGGGGTGTTCTGCTGGTAAAGTTTGGTCCCGGGTGCGCCGTCAAAAGTAGTTACAAACGTTGTTATGTGATTATTAGTACCTATTGTCGAATGTGAGTATAACGACTGTTTAATCTAAACTATGGTCTTTATTTTAAAACTACATAACTCGCCATATCATCATGTAAGCATATCCAACCTGATATTTGCCACAACAGGCCTGTAATTTAACAAATTAAAACGATTTTGTTTATCTGATTGCGTTTTAGTGGTTTTAGTGTCGTAAAATACAAGAAAATACGTAGGCCAACGTGTAAGCCCGATTCCTTGTGTACCTATACGCTTAAGATGTATATCGTGTACAGCGTACGTGTCTAGAGTTTAATGTACCATCAGTAGACACTAGGTATAAAGTAGTTTATTTTTTAAAACGTATATTGAGCGGAACTTGAAAATAATATTACATAATATTGGTTTAACGTTATTTAACATAAAGTACTCCCTACTCCCTACTCCCCTTCTCAGAGTTGTTGCATCTTTTTATTTTGTATACCTTTTCGGCTTCAAACATATTATTATAAAACAGAGGTGATGGGTGACTGGCGGCCTGCAAACCTCATTTCTCTGGCCCTTGCTACATTTTCAAATCAGGTACTTCTCACAATATTTCAGCGTTTATCTGTATTTATAAACTACGCGTTGTTTGTAGACAATATATTCGTACAATAATCTAATTGCACTTGAAATTGAAAAGATGCTTACATTAATGAGACTTATGTGAGTTAAACAAATTCATTTTTATCTGCAAAAGTGATTGACGGGTTCTTTTAGGAAAAAATTTCTTGTTGACAAATATCCATCTCCATCTTTACATTGTTTATTGATTTTCCATTTTTGCATTAAAAATGTTACCTATCTATGCTCTGTCCATCTAGATTTCAAAGTTCTAAAAATTTGCCGTCTAGTAACTCTGAGTTGCACATCTCTGTTATAAGATATCAAAATATACTTATATTATAATTAACCATAACAGCTATTGTCATGTAATAACATAATAAACAATAACTTCATGATTTGTATCAGTACAATAGGTACAATAATTTAAAGTTTAATGGAATATATTGATTTAAAACGTGATTATATTTTTGAATGCAATATTCTTTTCAATTTTCCGAAACAGTACAAAAAATAAACCATTTACTTACCAGGCTTCCAAAAACTGGAGACGTAATGAATGCCACCAGTTCGAAGCTGCCGAAGACGAAGCCGTATTCTGTAGCTGTACATCCTTTCTTCTCGGCCTAAAACACAAAACATATTATATTATATTAATTAATATATTATTTAACCTATAGGTGTTGATCAAATGTGAACAATATCGTTTCATCATATTATAGTTAATTTATTATAATATGGCAATTTACTACTAAGTCTTTGTTTCTTATTGATGATGCCTAAGTTATAAGTATGTATGATATAGATCAGTACACTAAACACTTAGTAGCACTACTCAGACAGTCAGACTCACTATACACAACAATACAGGTAACTAGTTTTTGGCGTCTGATATGGACACGACCTTCGTCAACGCTTAAAGCGTTTATGGTCTGCACTCTATTTTATAACAATTAACAATAATATAAAAAACAATTAAACAAATAAATTAATAATCCACATAATTACATCATGCTCTATAAGTGAGCATATTGTACAAACCACAGACAAAGCAAAATGGATATTATGTGATATTAATTTGCACACGCGACTGTACAACACACATCCCGATAAACGGGAATAAACATTTAAAAATCATTACTAGTAAAATATGAATAACTTGAAACATAATATTGCAGTGAATTATTATGCAATATTATTATCATTACGATTTATGGAGGGCATTATTGTTTCGGCGCGTATCCGCATTTTCATGAAAATAATGATGTTACAATATAATAATACGACTGCCATTATTACACCTATATATTTATATTACGAACCGGATAGAGGTAATATGTAACCTGGTATTGTCATTATGATTATCATATTTTATCATTATGATACTCATTTTATTGAGAGATTAAGCGATTTTGTGAATATACACGTGTCCAAATCGTATATCTTAAAAACTTAAATGAAACCGTACAACATTTCTAGATAGTATACCTACATATAGTAACGGCATATGGTACATTCTTATATATTACTTATTACTTATTAGGGATGGAAATTGTTATACTACAATTTATGATTATGATTCAGCAACGAAAGAGCAAATACTGATAAACGAATATTTTGTTAAATGGGCAAAACTGTAATGCGCATAGGTACATATTATCATAGCAATCAATGAGTATTAAATTATTATAATACCGTTAATTATTAAATTGTGCATAAATTAATGTGTTCCAATATTATTAGTGTGTACCTATAGCTGTGTGGGTATTAATTTATCAATGTTATCCAATTAACGTTTAATTTACAATATTTGGTAGTTCAAATTAAAAATAACTAAATTACCACTGTAGGTACTGAAAAAAAAGATTCCGTGTTAAAATATGACTTATATTAATTTGTTCTGTTTAAAATACTATGAACCAATATACACGCAAGACGTTATCGTAGTTTTATCAAACGTTGGAATTTCTATCTTATTGATTTTACTTTAACTACTATGAGCAAACCACAGACATTCGACTTAAATTGTTTTATTAATAACTAAATGATAGTACTTAAATATTATAATTTTTTCTCTCCACACTTAAACATTTACGAAATTAATAATTATCATCATCCACTGTTCTATTGATATCTTGTTCAAACATTTGGTGTGCTCGAAAATTTGCAATATGAAAAAGTGCAATCAAATAACCGAAATAAATTGTGTACTCCTCGAAAATATTATTAACGAAAAGCGAGTTGATCTTGACGAAATAAGTTTTAAAATTAATATTATCAAATATTATAATAATATGCAGGTAGGTTATTTTAAGATGTTATTTCTTAAAACAAACGTTTTCAGCAAATGTTTATAGAATCATAATTTACACACTTTTTATACAAATACGCAACCTATACCTCAAGTTTGTAATTATTCTTAATTTGTTTTTAGACGATTAAACTAATTATAATTATTAAAAATTACAATACAGTTACAAAGTTAGTTAGCATTGTAATAATAATGCAATTTATTCAGTTCATACTATAAATACTATGTACATAAGAATACGTTAATTTTTAATTGTATCTTCGAACATTTCGATTAAAAACTAGTAGGTAGGTACTTAAAAAGTGAATTACACATTACAGAGTAGTTAGGTAAATTGTGTACTTAATCGAACTCAAAAGTTAATTAATTCAAATTCAGTCATAGATTTATTATTAATACTTAAGTTTAGTTATACATCATAATGTCTTCAAATAAATTTGAGTTAAAAAAAAATTATAATGATCTAACCACAGGTATCTCAAGTTTCTAAACCAACTATATTATATGGATATTTAAAAATTAACTTATAGGTAACTTAATTGTGATTACAAGTAAACAATTTGCCTTGAGTTCGTTATAAAAAGATAATTAATTATGTTATTGCATTATAAGAACTTAAATAGATAAATATATGAATAGATTATTTATAAACGATTAATTAACTACAAAACAGTTAGACACATTTTATTGATATGATAATGACAATGAATATTTAACGTAACTTCAAAAAATTGTATGCTCCCGACTTGACTCGGAACTAGTTTTTTTTACTAACGATTCAATTTAAAAACGATAAAAATTAAACTAGAATGAAATTGCCGTCTGCCGTCCAACTCCCAACACGCTAAGTATGCGTCACAAGGACGACATTATTTTATATTTTTTTAATAGAAAACGCATTTACGACCGTCGAGAACAATGCAAATTCATATGTGTACCTAATCGAACGCGGAACAGCGTTCAATATTATGATATAACATTTTGTAAGTATCAACCGACGTTTTTGTTTATTTTTATTCGGCGTTCTAAATTACAAACAAAAATCACACGTGTTTATTATAAAACCATTACGTCGTAATAATTCGTCTATAAATTATAATACCTACACTTCTTCAAGTAAGCAGTAATCCACAGTACTATACCATATTTTAAAATATAATTATTATTATTTAAAAAATGTGGAACATGTGATGTCGATATTGAACGCCACGTGTATAACGAATATAACTTAAAGTGGCTTATACCGATATAAATCAGTGTACAATATAGGTACCTATAAAATATAAATTATAATGTTATGAGAAAAAAAACACTGGACGTGTGACTGAAAAACATTATTTAAACTTTAAATTATCTGTTTACGCGAATAGTTATTGTAAAGTACATTAATTATAGATACCTATAAGCTATTTTGCCTATTTTATTATGATCCATTTGATCAGAGCTCGTTGAAAAAATAAATTATACATAATATCTAGACAATGTTATTTATTTTATTATGATCTCATTACAGAAGAAACAAATAATTTATGTTATATTATTTTCTTTATAATAGAAAATATAAGTTGCCAACAACAGTTTTTAAGCAATATACCTAATTAATATTTTATAATCTTTTATAATTCTTTGATTTTTAAATATTATAATAAACACATACTTATATCTTGTTTTTCTATAATTATCAATATGTTGAGTTTATACTATCATGTATCAATGAAATTCGCTAAATAGTAAATAATACATTTAATTAATAGTTTACGATAGTTACACGATTATTATTCATCTAATCATTATCGGAAATTATTTTTCATGCTCCTATCATTGATTCCAATAATTGTTCATATACTATTATTATTCGTACCAAAAAAAATCTCAACGTCTTTTTAGACTCCGCAGAAGACTTGGAAACTCTTATAATATTATAGGAAGACCCCCTGAATTTTATAACAATAAATATTATTACTATACAATAATAATATGTATGAATGAAATGCGTAAGGTGTAAATTGTCTTAAATTTCATAATTTTGTACAAATTTGTATAAATCGTCGGCGTTTAATCTAATCGTCTGATCTAATGGAAACTAAATCATAAGAAAATGAAATTTAAGTCTACAATTTCACATCATGGACAGACGTGGATCGAACCGTTCTTTATCATTATTTTGAGGTTAATCACGTCCATTGTTGTTATCGGATAACCCTCGTGTACCTATAATTTACGGTAACAGGTAAATAATGGCGAAAAAATAACAGAATATTAAAATATAATATAACACAAGACATAATAATATCCTAACATCGGAGTAGTCCGTTTGCGCATTAAATCAGTACCCCATTTGAGCGAATTTTCGTACACCGTTTGGCCGAACTTTTGCTGATGATCAAGTACCATGTGGGTGAAAATAGTAAGCCGTTACGGCGGTAGAATTTTCTTTCCCATTTGAACAAACTTTAGATAATCAGTATTTGAATAGAAACTATAAAGAAAAATTTCGTACACTGTTGTTACTCATTGTAAATTTTATAACCATTGTTAAATTTAATTGAAATAGCTAAAACGATATAAAACACTGTATTTCTACCTATAACACGATAACCACAATTAAACATCTATTATTATACAGCAGCTGTACTGCTGTAGTTGGGTGTTAAACACGTGAAAGCACAAAACAATAATGTATTTAGTTTTGTTCGATAACATATAGTTTATTATACTAGCCCAAACAGTCTATTTTCTTCGAGCGCTAAAGCAGTATCATTGTAATATATGAAACTCGCCCTAAAGGTGTATCTATTTTCAGGTGGAAAAAGGTTAGGGTTCTCCCGACCAGAGACTCGTTATATCTATACTAACATAATATTACACGAAGCGTACAACTCAATAATATTAACGTCGTTCAACCGAATCGTGTATGTTTGGGAATACTGTTGTGCGATAAGTGCCAGTGTGATTATTAGCGTTCTTCAGGAAAATCGTATGTACAACGGGTTATTGTCAGGGAGGTGGTAAATGTGGGGTTTTGGGCTGTGTGTACTCACCTCTTCGGGGTAAAATGGCGCCTGCAACGATATGCAAATGGCGCAACAAAAGTGCACGGACCCGACCACGGCCAATATTATCCATTCGGAGAGTGTGAACTTCATGGTGGCGGCGCCCTCGTTTCCTCGGGGCTCGAAGGATGTGGTCGTTCCGGTCGGTGCGAAGATTTATATAATGCGTGGCGACGATGGACCACTAAAAATCGTTTAGTTATCGTGGCACGATGATAACAATATTATGTTCTCGGCGGTGACGATGTCTGTGCGTGCCGCCGGCTGCAGCGGATGATGGATCGTACGCTGGAAACGACGAATCGATTTGTGAAAAATAAAAACAAAACACGCACACACACACACACACACGGGCGCGCGCGAACGGTTTAAAGTTTAAAATAATATAATAATATGATTATTATATCGTAAATAATATCGTCCGAGTCGCGCCGGTCGTACGATCTTTTATATTAACTATTATAATACTACCTATCTACTGTTGTCGACAACCGACTGTCGTCGTTATTATTGTATTATAATATACCTATACTAGATATTATTCGCGCCGCACACGCACACCGCGGACTGGACGCGTAAGCGATGGCGAGTGGTGACTATTGTGTACCGACTGACGGACTTGCTGTCGTCAATTTTAATTCGAAAATAATAACAATTACAATAACGTACTACTCGGCGATCGACGCGCGGGCGAGTGTCGACGCGCTCGACAAACCGGGTGTACTAATCGCGTCCGTCCGAAACTCGATGTCCGCACACGCACGTACACACACACTGCACTTAGATTAACACACACACACACACACACACGCACAGTGATCGAGAAAACCCGCAGACGGTTCCCGATTAGTGAGCGCTCAATGCGGTATTTTTAACAGGTGTAGCAGTAGAAATCTATAGATTATTACAGTATTAATGCGATTTGTTGTTTGTATATCATTGTACTATAATAGTCATTGTTATCACTGTTCTAATAAAATTATTATTCGTGCCGAGAAATTATTATACTATTTTAATAACAAATAAAAGCGTGTACACAAAAATTTCATATGTAAATATATATATATATATATACATGTGCGTATAGGTATTATCGCGAAAGATAACAACATATCGCTTCGGTGTGCGCGAGCGCTCTTGTTCGGTTCAGTGTGCGTCCGGGTCCGGCCGACCGTCGGAAGATTTTTACGGGATACCGTCGAAGATTTGCAGAAGACGATGATAATAATAATAATTATTATTATTATAATGGCACGTATTATGGTAATGTCCAATAGTAATTACCTGACGACTACGAGAAATAAACCCCCGCTCGATTGCCCGGCGGGGAGTGCTTTCTCACACGAGTTATCACGGAATAAAAATGCATAATAATAATATTACAGTATCTACACGTGTGCCCGAATACTGAGCCGCCTGGTTATTTATACATGGTACTGGCTATTACTGACTGCCTACCATGTCAGTGAAGTTGGCCCCCCAACATTGTCCGATCAATTTCGGACCTGTGCCAATATTTTGCAAATAGTTTGCAATAATTTGCAAATCTATTTTCAGAATTTGCAAACTTCAACTTATGCTGTGGGAATCGTTTCAAAATTGAAGGGGCCAACTTCACGCAGCCCCCCCACATCGTCCGATCGATCTCGGACCGGTGCCAATATTTTGCAAATAGTTTGCAATAATTTGCAAATTCAATTTCAGAATTTGCAAATCACTCGCTGCCCCGCAATTTCCATTTTAGTGTGGGGGGGCCAACCCTACCTGCGCACCGTAAGATGACAGACAGAGAACGACATTTATGATTGAATTTGTTTAAACATTTGTAACGATTTACCTACCTTAGTATTTGTACAAAAAGTAGGTCCCGAAAAAAAACTTTTTTAAAGTATAGGTATGATTTATAGTAGGTAAATTGTTATTAAATATACAAGGCTATGGGCAAGTTAACTATTTTTTTTAAACTCGTTAAGTTAAGTTAATATAGAAACAATGTAAGTTAAGTTATGTCTGTGAAGTTGACTCCCTAACTTCACCCGATCATCACCAAATCTATGCCAATATTTTGCAACTTATTTGCAACTATTTGCAAAGCCATTTTGGTAATTTGCAACTCCATACTTTAACAGATATCAATATTTTTGTGTGGTGGGGCTGGCGATCGGAAAAAAAAATAAATTGTTTGATGATTAAAGAAAAAACAAATACAACAAGGTGGTTAAGAAAATATAGAATAGATAAAATACTTAAAAACTAACTTAAACTATTTGATTTGGTCCATTACAAATTATAAATATTATTAAATGTTGGTTCTAAAATTTCTAAATTATTACGAATTTTAGGAAATAAAAATATTTGGGATGTTCATTTTTCTTAAATAACTTGGAAGTTTGGAACCTCCACTTTAAAACATAATTTTTAATCACTTTTTAAATGTAAGCGTTTATTAATTGATACTATTGACAATGCGTATTGGTATGAGAGTAAAGTTGGCACCCCGACTTTATCGTGTCGTTACAAAACTAGTACCATATTTTTGCAAAATTAATTGTAACAATTTGAAACACTGATTAAAAAATTTGCAAAACATTTTCATGCCAGTAGAAATAAAATTCACTAATATTTACAAATATTGGAATTCCCAGTCTAGTATAAAAAATATAACACAGGGGGGCAACTTCTCATAGCCCCCCCCCCCTATATGTGGCCAGCGGCTTCAAGATAATGCCATTATTTTGCAAATAATTTGCAAACATTTGCAATTCAGTTTAAAATTTAAAATTCCTTTTATTTACTTTATATATGTAGGAACATAATATGGGTTATAGAATTATAAGCTAATAAATGTTTAGTATAAATGTTTTATTTTTACTTATAGATTTTTTACACAGTACGAAATTTCAATAAAAATAACTAAGATGAATAAAAAAACCTGTTTGTATATAAAATGTACCTTTTTTTATCAAATATAGTTTTTTTTTATTGATTTTAGATTTTTTATTACATTTTTTTTCAATGATTTTTTATAAAACAGAATTTATTAAAGAATTTAATTCAATTTACATTTTTTGTAAAAAATAAAAATTCAATATAAATCGGTTTGATGAAAAATTCATAATTTAAAAAAAATAACTAATAAAAATATTGGAAGAAACATATATATTGTATAAGAAATCTTTGTTGAATTGAAATTTAAAAATAAACCTGTTTCATAAAAAATCAATAAAAAATATGTAATACAAAAATACAAAATTAATAAAAAAAAAATCGATTTTTGATAAAAAAAATGTTAACATGATAAAAATAATGGAAATTGAATTAAAATCTATATATGGTGAAAAATTCATAATTTAAAAAATCTAGTTTAAAAAAAATTTAATTTATTAAAAAATATAAATAAAAAAATAATAAAATTTAATCTTAAAAAATTTCTGTTTGATAAAAAAATTAACAAAAAAATATGTATATTATACAATATTAACAAAATAAAAATCCATTTTTGATAAAAACAATTTGTACTTTATAAAATGATTTTTTTATCGATTTTTTAACATATTTTTTACTAAGATTTTAATTCAATAAAAAAAGTTTCGTTGAAAAATCAATAAAAAAATCAACAAAAAATTAATAAAAAATCTGTTAAAAAAATAGATGAAAAGTACTAATTTTTAAATCAAAAATGGAATTTTTTTGTTAATTTTGTAAAATATACATATTTTTTTCTTGATTTTTTACCAAACAAATTTTTTTTATGATTAAAATTTATTAGTTTTTTAAAAAAATGTTTAATTTTAATTTTTTTAACTAGATTTTTTAAATTAAGAATTTTTTACCATATAGTTTTTAATTCAATTTCCATATTTTTGTCAATAATTTTTTCCACCAAAAGTCAATTTTTTTTATGAATTTTGTATTTTTTATTACATATTTTTTATGAAACAGAATTTTTCTAACTATGTTTTATCAAAATTTTTTTATTAATAGTTTTATTAAATATAATTTTTTTTAATTATATATCTTTTAATGTATGAATTTTTCATCAAAAAGATTTTTATTCAATTTATATTTTTACAAAAATTGTACCTAAATTGAATTAAAATCTTAAAAAAATCTATTTTTTTTTTTATCTATAAAAAATATAACAAAGGTAATTAATAAAAAAGTTTATTACATAAAAATTCATAGTTAAATTAAAATCTTCAAAAAAAAACTGTTAAATAAAATATCTACATTTAATAAGAAAATCTGAATTTGATAAAATAATCTGTATTTCATAAAAGGAATCTAAATTTGAATAATAAATTTTAAAAAAAATCTATTCTTAATAAAACAATTTATATTCAAAAAAATTCTGAATTAAATTTAAAAATATTTATTAAATATAAAATATGTACTTGATAAAAAGATCTACACTAATAAGAACTAAAAATTAAAATGACTAAAGATATGTATTAAATATAATATTTGAAATGATTCAAAATGATAAATTGCTGTTACATTTTTAATCATTTATTGTAGAAAATTGTATTCATTAATCTTATTAATGTTTTTTTAAATATGATTTTTTTAAATTATATTAATTATTTTACTAATTATTATGTTTTTATTAGTTTTATATATACCGACATTAATTTTATAAAGTATTTCTGAGCCGTTTTTGGCCATTTCTAAATAGAAAATTTTTCGTTAATAATTAATATACAGAATTCTACCTACTAATTATTCTGAATATTATATTTTTTATAAATTATTAAAATACAATGATTTTATTTGCCATTTTTATTAATTTTTTGATTTAACGAGTACATCTTATTAATTATTGTATGAAAAAAAGTAACTGATTTTAAGCTAAGTTAAGTTAAAACATAACTTAACTTACATTGTTTCTATATTAACTTAACTTAACGAGTTTAAAAAAAATAGTTAACTTGCCCATAGCCTTGTATATTTAATAACAATTTACCTACTATAAATCATACCTATACTTTAAAAAAGTTTTTTTTCGGGACCTACTTTTTGTACAAATACTAAGGTAGGTAAATCGTTACAAATGTTTAAACAAATTCAATCATAAATGTCGTTCTCTGTCTGTCATCTTACGGTGCGCAGGTAGGGTTGGCCCCCCCACACTAAAATGGAAATTGCGGGGCAGCGAGTGATTTGCAAATTCTGAAATTGAATTTGCAAATTATTGCAAACTATTTGCAAAATATTGGCACCGGTCCGAGATCGATCGGACGATGTGGGGGGGCTGCGTGAAGTTGGCCCCCCCACTCTAAAATGTAAATTGTGGGGCAGCGAGTGATTTGCAAATTCTGAAAATGAGTTTGCAAATTATTGCAAACTATTTGCAAAATTTTGGCACCGGTCCGAGATCGATCGGACGATGTTGGGGGGGCTGCGTGAAGTTGGCCCCCCCACTCTAAAATGTAATTTGCGGGGCAGCGAGTGATTTGCAAATTCTGAAAATGAGTTTGCAAATTATTGCAAACTATTTGCAAAATATTGGCACCGGTCCGAGGTCGATCGGACGATGTGGGGGGGCTGCGTGAAGTTGGCCCCCCCAATTTTGAAACGATTCCCACAGCATAAGTTGAAGTTTGCAAATTCTGAAAATAGATTTGCAAATTATTGCAAACTATTTGCAAAATATTGGCACAGGTCCGAAATTGATCGGACAATGTTGGGGGGCCAACTTCACTGACATCTGCCTACCTGACACCGTCTGGCTACCCAGGCAACGATAGTAATTGAGTAATGTACCGGTTTCCCCAAAGTTACTTTT